TTTGATCTTGTTTCTAGTACAACTCATTAACCGTATTAGATGTTGTAATTGGGCGTATTATATTTATTTAGCCCTTTCTAATACCGTTTTTATTTACAACCGTATTAGATGTGGGTGTACTGTATAGCCTGTTTTCTAGTAGTGCAACTCTACGCTCTTAGCTGTATATGTTTAAGACTTTCACAATTAGTTGACCAATCAAACATTGCTATATAATCATGCTTCTTGCTTATGAAGTGTGGCACAGATGTGCTCATAGTAGCTATGTATGATGGTTTAATGATGTGGATATTAATAATATAGTTTTTATAATTAGTAATAAATATATCTTCATAAATGTGGAAAAACCTGATGAACAAGACTTTTAATATATTATTAAAAAAAGTATGTTGTATAAGAGGAGAATGAGAGTTTGAATGAATAATTACATAAACTCAATTAAATATGGCGGTTTCCTTGCATGTGAATCTAGGTTTGTGTTTAAATGACCAGAAAATTAAGTGTTGTGGTTAACAATGATTTGGAAATAACCAAAATAAATTGGCTGTTAAAAAACTGCGTGTTATAAATTATAACCCTTCAGCATGCGGATGGCGGAGGCATAGAGCAAATAACTCGGTTCTATTTGAAAAAAATTGTATGGATGTGAGCAGGTTATTTGATTTGACCCTTAACTTTTAACTGGGTCATATTACATTTTCCTTTATAGAGAACCCGGTTTCTCTATAATATAACCTGTTTTTTTTCCTAAAAACCAGATCTTATATACGAAGTCCAGGGGCATACGCAGGATTTCAAAGTATGGGTGCACGGGAAAGTCAGGGGTTGCACGATAGTAGAAAAAATAAAATTTTTTAAAAATTTCGAAAAATTTTCCACAACGGCTGGAAATGTTAGGGGTTACCGGTGCTACCGGTGACCCCCTAAATCCGCCCCTGACGAAGTCTTATGTGCCTTTTTGTAGTAGTGACATGTTGCAAATCAAGGGTTAGCTGCATAAATTTTCTTTTCCTTCCCATCACAACCCCATAAAAAATTACGTCTAAATCCCTCCAACTTTTTCAAAATTCCTTTTGGCCCTTTAAAATGAACATGAAATTAATAGATTTTGAGGCTTCCAAGAACCAACTTAACAAGAATAAGCCGACCCCTATAGGAATCATTTGTCTTCCAGTTAGCCCAGCTAGCTCTAAACTTATCCACCACCGTATCCCAAGAAGACAACCGAGTCATATTCGATCCAACTGGTAACCCAAGATAAATAAACGACAGATTATGATGGATACATCCCACACAACTCCGTTTGTATATTTAATTTTTTTTTTGTTGCGGATTAATATATCTAATGCAACCACATCATTATTCTCTCATACATCGAGAAAGGCTAAAGTATGACGAAATTACCCATCTATCTTACCGCATTCTTTCTTTTTTGAAAATTAACCATCAAGGTTTGCTGTTTGGCCACTAGCTAGCCATTTCTTTCACACATGAGGCATAAACTAGATCCAAAACTCATGGGGGAGTGATGAGCTGGTCTCATATATAAGTGGGTGGTTGGACGTTATAGTGTATTTCTTTTACGTTGTTATATATTCGTTTCCTTTTATTATGGTTTAAAGTGTATGTGGTCATGCAACTTAAGCAGCTAATTTTATTAGTGAAGGCAGAGAAGTTAATGCAAACCTGTGGTACCTTCTCCCTGGAGTGAAGACAATCTACCGTATCAAATTGTTCACTTACTTTTGGGACCTATCATGTGCAATTGTGCATAAATATATTTGGCTCTCAAAACTTCATGACAACGAAAGTAATACTAGGTGCTTAATTACTTGCATACATGATCAAGTCTGATAAAATACATCTGGATTCAAAAAGTACATAAACATCGACACATCAACTTCTTCCAAATTGATAGAAAGCATTAGCTTTCACATCTTCAAAAGAAACATTCTCCTTCAAAACAACAAGTGATCAGAAGCTTGGACTTCGATAGAAAAGCCTAGGGTTTTTTGGCTTGAAAATAAATTTAAAACCATATATTGAGTAAAAAGCATCCCATAAAAGATTATACTGAAGCCTGATATATAAGATGACTGGTATGGAAATCCAAAGGGCGATAATGATTGGTACCCAAAGTAACTTGTCCTGAAAAATAACGAAGAAACTGACACTAAAACCAACCAGCATGGCTGCGATTGAGAAAAAAAGTGTAACTAGACCTGTCATGAGTTTTTGGGGTAATACTTCCATAAAATCAAGTTCAGCATAGCGAGATAAGTAAATAGATAAGAATATGAGGATCGAAATGGAAGAGAATGTCAAAGAGATGGCATCTGATATGGCAAAGGCTATGAAAGATTGATTATGAACGAACATGGGAATACCAGTGTTCTGATTGTATCCACCCGGAACTCCAAAAGCTGCTGCAAAAGCAATGGAAGCTATGAGAGCTCCAACCACTAAGCACTGGTTTGCCGTGTCTTTCATCCACTTTTCATTTTCAAAGAGTAGCTCTCTGTGCTCCTTGATGAACAATTCATGTGGTGTTTGACCATTTCTGTTCTTCCTTTCTCTGTATGAAGGAGGGAGCAGAGCTTCTACTTCCTACACAAAAAGAGATTAGATTATTTCACCGGATTTGTATTTCAGATTTTGAAATGATAATAATAATAATACTAAGATGTTAAAAATGCCACGTCATACTTAAAATAAATTTTTTTTATATAGAAAGGCAGCATTTATCGATTATCGAAGGAAAGATCCTATCATGTACCCACGAAAGGTTGTCAGCTATATATGAATCTAAGAATAGAAAAAGTACCTTGAACCATAACAATTCACGTTGCATTTGTAGACCGACTCCAGAGTCATTTTGATTGTGATTATTCTTTGGACACTGGCCAACTAAATGCAACATAGTATTTCCTTCATTATCCTTCAGAGGTGTTATCATATCCTTCATTGAGCCAATCTCATGCAAAAGATTGTAGATATCCTCATGACGGTGTATGACAGCAATATGAAATATTGTTAGGCCATTATCATTCACCTTCCATATCAAGTCTGGATATTGGCGAAGGAGCTCAATCAGAAATTCAATGTTTCCCATCTCGGCAGCAACAAATAGGATGCGGGAAGAATACTTCTTCGTTGGAAGGTCAGTTGGCCCTCTCATGATGGAACTAATTTCACGATCAGATAATTTCATAACCTCTGCCCAGATGATTCTTAGTAATACCATGCCATCACTTGGCTTTTCAGCAGACCCAATCTTCACGTGAATGAGTGCCAAAACTGAAAGCCACAACCAATCACATGACACCAAAAACTTCTATGACGGTGGATAAAGTTTCGTTTTTAAGTAAAAAACATAAAGATCGGTGAGTAGATATGTTTACTTGGATATAAGATTCTCCGGATAAAATGAGGTTTTGTTCTTTTAAATGCATCCGTCTTCCGAGCCAAAACTCCGAGTACAATCCCACTTTTAGCAAGTTGTGGCCAGCAGGTCACTATTTTTATGGCAACATCTACAAAATATTTGACAATCATCAAATGTAACATAAATCATATAAAAAAGTTGTGAACAGAAGCACATAAGATTTCCCAAGAAACCCTGGCTGATATCTCTCCTTAAATTTTAGTATAAAATGTTGGAGTTGACTCTCAAGCCCTAGAAATCAACACCGCGCGTGCAAATAAATAAGGCCTGTAGTCTCTAAAGCTCATCCAATTAATAAAATCCTATTCAATTTACATCGGATCTTACAATCTCAGAATCAAATAATGGTAGGCAAAGAATGTTGTGGAAATGGGAAAGGTCTGGTCCTAACATCTTAAAATATGTGTAAGATTTGGATAATTAATAGGCATGCGGAAGGGTAAATAACATAAAAAAACATTCAGTTTACACCAAAATTCTAATTTGACACTGTATTTTTTTTGTCTCAAATTTGACACTGTGTTTTCCAATTTGTTACAATTCTGACCATCTGACCGGTCAACCAGGTTAAATGCTGACGTGGCATGATGATGTGTCGGTTTTGATAACGTGACATGCTGACATGATATGCTGACGTGTCAAAATTGAATTTTTTTTCCACAAAAAACAGTAAGTTTTCATTTTTTTTCGATTTTGACACTAAGTTCAATTTTTTTTTTCAATTTTGACACTATCTTTTTTTGTTCCAAATCGAACATCATTTATCAAATTTTGTTCAATTTTGACCATTTTCCATTTGAAACCATATAAATATATTTTTTATTACATTTTAAACCGTATAAATATATTTTTTTCGTTTAAAAACCACATTTTTATTTAAATACAAGGTGTTTCTTTTTTTTTTTTTGTTTTTTTTTTATATTCAAAGCATAATGTATAAATATGCATTAGTTATATCATGAGAATCAAACTAACCATAAGCTTCTAATAAGATGCAAAAATTTCACAGGTTGCAAACTTGACATCCGGGTTTTGATCAACTACACGCCTCCAAACCTTCAAACTCATTTTAAAGTTGCGTATTTAATATAAAATACGGTTTTTATATAACTAATACATATTTATACATAAAATTATGGTTTGAATGTAAAAAAAACCTTGTATTTATACAAAAATATGGTTTTTAATTGAAAGAAAATATATTTATATGGTTTCAAATAAAAAATTGTCAACATTGTACAAAATTGGAAAAAATGATGTTCGATTTGGAACAAAAAACATAGTGTCAAAATTAAAAGAAAAAATTAAACTTAGTGTCAAAATCGAAAAAAATGAAAACATAGTGTTTTTTGTGGAAAAAAAATTCAATTTTGACACGTCAGTATATCATGTCAGCATGCAACGTCATCAAAACCGACACGTCATCATGCCACGTCAGCATATAACTTGGTTGACCGGTCAAGTGGTCAGAATTGTAACAAATTGAAAAACGCAGTGTCAAATTTGAGACAAAAAAAAAAAAACACAGTGTCAAATTAGAATTTTGGTGTAAACTGAGTATCGTTTATGCTATTTACCCTATGCAGAAACAATTAATACTCCCTCTGTCCCAAAATTATTGTCTACAGACAAAAAAACGAATAGATTAAAAAATTATTAATTACCACTAACTTTATACAATAAAATGATAGTTTTGTCCTTACTTTGCATTTAATGTTCCAATAAATTCTTAGTTGGTTAAGTAATAATGAGGAGGTATTTTTGGTAAAAATGTTATTTATTTTTGACAAAATTGCAGAAATGGTCCCTGTGATATACATTTTTTTGGGGTTTTGGTCCAAACCATGAGTTTTTTGGCTTCGTGGTCATTTTGGACTGGTTTGTTTGTGAAAATGGTCCATGTAATTAACTCCCGTTAAAAAACAATCCGTTAACCCCCTCATGTGCCTTCCATGTGAGGGTATTTTCGTCTTTTTATCTCTAGGGACCATTTTTGCATAAGAAAAAATAAAACCCTCTTTATCTACCATTTTTTATTTCCAGCTTCTTCCCCAGCTTAGTAGATTCTCACGGCCGATTCCAACGGAGATTGATTCAGGTGTTCTTCCTACTCCGAGGCGCAAGTTTGTTAACACCGTGAGGGGTTCAGATTTCCCGGAAATTAGTCTTGATGATCTAGCAATTGAGTTTTTCTCGGGGAAGGATAACAACTCTGAGGTAGATGATGAGAGTGGAAGCAGTAGAAGCAGCCGGCCTGTTCGTGTGAAGTCTGAGATTAGTCCTGTACTGGGTTCGTCTCAAAGGCGTGGAAGGTGTGTCAAGGCGTAACGATGATACTGCTTCTAATGCTGGTGGTACAATTAGAGTCGTGCAACAAGCTGAGATTAGTTCTGCAACACCTTCGTCTCAAAGGCGTGGGAGGTCTGTGTCGAGGCGTAACGATGGTACTCATTCTAATGCTGGTGGTACTACTAGGCCTTTTCCAAATGTTGATTCAAGGAGGAGGCGGTCTGTATCAGATGCACGGTATCAGATTAGTGATTCCGAGGTATATTTTAGTTTGGACTTGATTGTATACTTTTATGTGTATGCTGAGTATCTTAGATGGAATCTCACCTAAATAAGAGTAAAGTAGAATTCTCAATGAAATCTATGACCCATTGATCTGAAGAAGTGGCATTTAGAGGCATTAGCTTTGAAAGTATCTCTATTTTTGTTCATTGTCATATGGAGCCATGAAAAGTGAGAAGACAAGCAGATCATGGAAAACTGCTTTGGTTGGCCTTGGAAGAACAATTGGTTTTCAGACGAACCCAGTACACGACTCTAATTGTACCACAAACAATGTTCTTTATAAAATAGTGTTGTTTGTTTTTAGCTATGTTGTTTGTGTGCATTCCAACTGAATTTACGTTCTTCTCAGCATCCAACTTTTAAATCTTTTGATGGTTTTCAGTTGACCTTGATTGTAATGTAAGTGGGATTCATATTTTGTTCCATTATCTGGGAAATGTGTTTAAACATCTATTCAAATCGGGGAATAACAGTAGTTGGGGAAGAAGCTGAAAATAGAAAATGGTATATAAAGGGGTTTTTATTTTTTCTTATGCAAAAATGGTCCCTAGAAGTAAAAACACAGAAATACCCTCATGTGGAAGGCACATGAGGGGGTTAACGGATTGTTTTTAACGGGAGTTAACTACAAGGACTATTTTCACAAACAAACCAGTCCAAAAGGACCACGAAGCCAAAAAACTCGTGGTTTGGACCAAAACCCCAAAAAAATGCATACCACAGGGACCATTTTTGCAATTTTGTCTTTATTTTTAGAAGTAGACTATTATTTTGGAAAAACCAAAAAGGAAAGATGGACTATAATTTTGGGACGGAGGGAGTAATAATCATGCAGATGTGAAGGACCTTATGTTTGACTATGAAGTGTAGAAAAAGATGGTGAAATAAAATTAAGCCAAATTCTACAGCTTTAGATATCTAAGTCAAAGTCTGTATGCTCTGGGTGGCTATCCCCGTGTTTTGTTTTCACAGAAGTCTGCTCCCATTGAGTATAAGGAATGCATGAATATTGAGATGCTGATCAACTAATAAGTCGATACAATTGGTCGAATTATAATCTAGACTTGTTAATTGTGTTTTCTCCATCAAAGAATCAAAGATAAAGGGTGCTTAGAAGAACAGTTCCTTGACAGTTTGTGTAACTGTCCCATGAGTTGTTTTTCCAGGTGTTAAATTTAATGCAACAACAATAAAACATGGAGAAATTAAGGAGTAACAATTACATACCAAAGTGATCTGCTTCCACACATTTCTGGAGAACCCAACTGCGATTCTGATCTGTCCAGCCATATCTAGACATCTGCCCAGATTTATCATACAGATAATTAACCATCTTACTTCGTCCAAATAAAGAAGCCATGTAGAGTGGCATCATTCCATTACTACCAGGGATATCCACCAGGGCCGGGTTCTTGTCCAACAAAGTCATAACAATTTTGACATTTCCAGCTGCTGCTGCTAAGCACAGCGCAGTGTTGTCATTTTTATTGGTAAGTTCTAACTGTTTCTCTGTCATCATAGTCACTAGATTTTGTACAAACTTATCCACCGACTTGCTGTTTTTTGCAGATGCTGCAATGTGAAGTGCAGTATCATAATTTTCAGTGATAGCATACTCCACCAGAATTAGATCTTTATGTTTCCCAAAAATGACTTGGGCAGCTTCCCAATCACCAATGCTTGCTGCATTATAGAGAGGAGCGCAAATTCTGATGTACTGCTCTCTATTTCCTATAATATAATTGACAAAGAAATGTTATTAAAACAGTTTTACGAATAAGAATTTGTGATTGAGGCAGATCATGCTGCATCATAAACTGCTATAAAACAGGGCTAATAGATAGCAATATAGGCTGCCAGAATAAAACCATTATATCATGTAATTAACAACATACCAAGTAGATCTCCACATGGGAGTTTCTGATGGAATGATGATTGAGGAACATATGAACTGGTTGAGGGTTTTGTGACCGACTCCTGCTGCCTGATAGGATTTATATCCTCTATTGAACCCATGGGTGTGCTTTCGGGGTTCATTTCCTGCACCTGCGCAATTACACTTTTAGTAATGGTATCATATCCAAAGACTAGTAAATTTCACTACAAGTTTCCTAATGAACCTACGTCTCTCTCATTTGAATCTAAATGTGGGCTTGCGGCCTTCATCTTGGGCACCTGCATATATAACGACACTATTAGTAGCTGAAATCAGAAAAGGAGACCTGGGGATAGTATTTGGAGCCAGTGAAACTACCTAAAATCAAACGACTAGCTACCAACTTTCACTTAACAAATTTGTATGTATTTTTTGGTAAGTAGGAATGGAAGAGTTCAAGACAAAGAACCGCATGTATATATGCAGAATTAGATGGGTTAGGTGAAGATGTGTTTTTTTATAAGAAGTATAATACAAAAGTCAAAAGTCTTTAATTAATATACATTTGCCAGCAAACACTGTATTTAAATAACTAGGCTAATACATTTTCAAATGTTACACTGAATATAATAATATAATTAAAATATAGATAAACAAATGATATTAAAAAAATAACTATATCCTCCTTTGAAATATTAATTCATTATCAAACATTCACATAGTTTTAAAATAAAATTTCACAATTAGTCCATGTGATTTTTAAGAAATGGCAACTTGAGAATAACGATGAAAGTTGTAGAAATGGCAACTTGAGAATAACGATGAAAGTAGCTACAACGCTAGTCCTTGTGGTTTCAAAACGATAAAGTTTTATCGTTAATCCCTCTTTCATTAAATCTAACTATTGATTTGTCAATATTTTTATATTATGACCAATATACAAATGGATGGAAAATCAACAATTTTAATAATTTTTATTCTTTAATCATATCAAACACCGTTATATTCATAAATGAATATGAGAGGACTATATATATATATATATATATATATATATATATATATATATATATATATACTAGTTTATAACCCGTAGGAACCACAGATTATAAAATTAATTAAACTTTCGTAATAAAAATTTATAATTTATATATGACTATATTCAATAATGATTAAACAATTTCAAAAGAAAAAAGTTACAAAATTCATCCCTATGTCAAGCCTTGTTTTAATAAACCACAACCCTAATTCTTCCATTTGAATCAAATCGTACTAACATATAATTTTTAATTGGTAATCATCTCTAAAGAACAATAAATATTGTGTAATTCACAAGCTTGTTTAACGAGTAGTACTGATAAATATTGTGTAATCCGCAAGCTTATTTAATGAGTCGTAGTCATACCTAACAAATCTCAGCATCCCTTTTCTTTGATCAATATCTACAAAATGTCGATAACATGTAAAATTACTATTTTAACTTTGCAAACTAAATATCAAATAAAATCTACTACTTAGAAATAAGTTTAAAAACAAAAAACATTTAAAATTAACCATCGTTTTCAAATCAAAATGCGAATGGGAATATAATTCAACGCATATAGAAAGAAAAAGACAAAATTGCAAAAAATGGTATTCGGGTTTCGGTCTAAAACCTATTTTTTTTTGGATTTGTGGTCCTTTTGACCATGTTTGCTTGTGATTTTGATTCCTCGGAAAATTGAAAGACTAAAATGCTTTATGATAGACCTTTTATGTGTTTTCTATTTAATATAAAGGAAAAAGAAAATAAAAATTAATTTTGGCCCATATATATATATATATATATCTCATTGGATAGCATATCACATATAGGAACATCATTTTTGTTGAAATGCTTGACCAAGAAATCAAACCTAATGTAGTCACATATATACACAAAGTCGATTCGAGCAGTAGGAATGGAATGAGGGAAACAGATTTGGGTGTTTTGAGGGATGGTTGGAGAAGATGAAGATGGATATATATATATATATATATATATATATATA